CAGGTCTACCATGGTTTGCGGGGGCTGTTGAGCTCCGGTCATTGGGGCTCCCGCGTCTCCCGCTCCCCGCTGAGAGGTGGGTGAGACAACCGCGGGTGGCGGTTGAGGCGGTTGTTGATTCGTCACTTCCGTCGGGCTTAAATGAGGGATGGTGGTTCTCTGCGACTGGTCTTGTAAAAGCACCATCATTGCTGCCAATTGGTTTTCCAAAGCGCTGAATTGACTCTGCATCACATACTGCGGGGGCGGTGGTGGTTCATGACCCCTTGCAACTGACTCCGACTCCGTCTCCACCGTATTCCCAACCAGGCGAGTATCACTTCTTGTTCGTCTTCTTGACATGGCTTTTTAGTTCAAACGGATGTTCCCACAGACGGCGCCAATGAAAGGCGGTGATTCAACACCCTTCTGTTTACCCGGTAATGTTTGGCGTTTCCACCACTCCTTCAAGTGTGCAAGACCTGAAAAATGAAGGCGGGGCTTTCTCCCCCGTTTTACCTCCGGCGTGAGAATTAGTTTTCAGATTTAGAAAGAATATATTTGAAAATCAGATGGCTAAAAACGAGAATGGGAGCTCAAAAAAATCATCCCATACCTGTGTCTCATCCGGCGGTATTTATAGATATTAGACACTAGGTAACCGCTGGGCGGTTGTGGTGCCACGTGTCCCATGACGGTATTCCCACTACACCCACGTTCTGAGTGATGAGTCCTTAACTTCCCATCTGAAGATTGTACCTGTATCAGCAGCCATGTAACCTTGTTGATTCATTAAAGGTTTTATGGCTAAGTGTTTGGACGAGGGATATCATTCCCGTTGAGGATTTCGCTTAGTGGTAGAATGATTTCTTGGGATAGCGGTAGAGCGCCCTTTGGGGGTTGTGGTAGAGTGCTCCCTAGACGTAGTGGTAGAGCGCTCTCTAGATGTAGTGGTAGAGCGCTCCCTGGGTGTAATGGTAGAACGCCCTTTGGGAGTCGTGGTAGAGCGCTCCCTAGATGTAGTGGTAGAACGCCCTATGAGGGTCGATGGCCTTGCATCGGTGTGCCGTGATCTGCCTTGCTTGTCCTTGAGGGTGTCTACTTCTACCAACCTATATCACTATCCTTGGTATCAAAGTTAAAAAGGATACTGTGGGTTTTACATTAAGCCAATCACACTATGTTGAGAGTGTGATAAACAAATTCAAAAATTTGAATATTAAGGAGGCTAACACTCCTATAGATCCAAATATTAAATTAATAAAAAATGAAGGTAGAGCAATTGCACAAATAGAATACGCAAGTGCAATTGGAAATCTTATATAAGCATCACAATGTACAAGACTGGATGTAGCATTTGCTGTAAGTAAACTAAGTAGGTTTACTAGCAATCCAAGTTCAGAACATTGGAAGGCCATCAGTAGGGTTCTTGGTTACCTAAAGAAAACAAAAAATCCTAGGCTACAATATACAAAATTTCTTAAAATCTTGGAAGGATATACTGACGCAAGTTAGATATCAAGTGCAGGAGAGAAAAAATTTACTTTAAGTTGGATATTCACTCTTGAAGGATGTGTAGTTTCTTGGAAGTTTTAAGAAACAAACTTGTATTACTCATTCAACTATGAAATCGGAGTTTGTAGCATTGGCCGAAATCGGGAAAGAATCTGAGTGGCTAAGAGATTTATGATATGAAATACCTTTAGATATAAATGATATTTCTTCTATACCTATCTTGTATGATAGTCAAGCAACTTTAGCTCAAGCATATAGTGAAATATATAATGGAAAGTCTAGACATATGAGTCTAAGACACGAGTATGTAAGAAAATTAATCAAACGTGGAGTAATTTCTCTTACATTTGTCAAGTCTAGTGAGAACTTACCTGGTCCATTTATGAAATCTCTCACAAAAAAGTTATTGAGATCAACATCAAGTAAAATGGAATTAAAACTCCTCAAATAGATCCACCAATAACTGCGACCTCACCAAAATATACTAAACTAGTATTTATATAGGTTCAAGAGGTAATAACAAATTATTTGAT